GAGAATTAGAGAATAGATGTATAAAGAGTAGATGCGAGAAATTAACTAAATTCTAATAGAAAGAGATAGATGTGTGAGATAAAAAGAGATAGATGTGTAATGGAGATAGATGTGAGATGGAAAGAGATAGATATATGCCGCTTGGTAACGGGCTGGCGGGAAAAACGACGTGCGCGTGCAAGTCCGAGCGTGAACGGCGAGAGTCATTGTTTTTGGCGCGCGGAAGTCCGATCGTGAACGGCGAGAGTCATTGTTTTTGGCGCGTGCAAGTCCTATCGTAGACGGCGAGAGTCATTGTTTTTGACGCGCAGAACTTGTTGCTGGGCGCGCACAAACACATAATCGATTTCGACTAACAACATGGCATCGATGCTAGATGGCTAGATTACGATACATGTAAATGTATGCGTATGCTAGATGGCTAGATTGCGATACATGTATATATATGTGTATGCGTATGTATAAAAACTCTATATGACTCTATATAAGTTTATTTTTTTTGAAATTGATATGTATCGGGTCGGTAATTGAGCATGACTAGTTGTGCGGTGTAGCTTGATTACTGTACAGGGAGGCCGCGTAAATTTGTATGGGCCCCGTGCGCGTGCGTGATCAACCCGAGCTCCCATAGATCTTTTCAGCAGTGCTGGGGATCGCAACGGAGAGTGGTGTGCGCGTACGGATAGCCCTGCAGAGACGCGTGGTTTTCTCGCTTTGGGGTTATTGTGAATTGCAGTGCGTTCTAATATAGCTTCATAAGCATTAAATTTTTATCGCTGAAAGAAATCTAGTGATAGAAATTGTAAATTATTATTTGTCAATACGAATGTTGGTTTATCTTGTCAAAAGAGGAATTCTAATGTTTAATTGACATTTGAATCCCGATTTAGATGGAAAAAGAGATGAAAAATCTTCCGATGGATGAGGAAGAAAGCCAAGATGCACTGGTTGACTACGACAGTGATAGCAGCGTGGTCACGGTGGTAGAGAGAGAAAGAGGTTGTGAGAAAACAATAAGTAAAGATGAAGAAGAAAAAGAGAACAAGAAGGAGACTGAAGCAAGGGGTGCAATCCCAAAACACAGCAATCAAAAACCGAAGGTTGTGGAAAACGTGGATGTGACAAATGCATGGGTAGAGAATCGCCCTGTACTACCGATAGGAACGAAACTGCTATACGAGAAACAAGAAAAGATGGTTGCGAAAGTGGACTCGGTATTAAAGATGTTGGATAAGGTTATGACCCAAGCAACCTCCATGATGGAAAATATGATAGAAGTCGCTCACGTAAATTTAGAGAAAGAGAGACTGAAGATTAGACGTTTAGAGGTAAATAAGCAGAATACGCAAAGTAAAGTAGAAAACAGTATACAAACGGTTAAAGAATCAGAAGTAGAGCCTAAAAAGAAAAAGTTAGATGAAACAATCTGTTCAGCCGAGAAAAACAGAAGTTTAGAGACAATTAAGAGTGCTTTAGAGGTAGAATTAAACAGTCAAAGGTTGCATATTAGAAGAGAATATAAGCTGCAAAAATCCAACTTTGATCTTTGGATGGATTATTTAAAATCCGAATTAATGAATAACGATTTATTAGATGTAATAGATTCAAACATTGAAAGTCCAGAAAATCTTTCCGAATTAAAAGTTGCTAAGAGAAAAAGTCTAGTTAGAGATATAAAATAATCAATCATTTAGATGAAAATTATCATAAAAGGATTTTACATGAGAAAAATCCAAAAGAAATTTTGAAGAAATTAAGAGGGTATAAAAAGAGTGAAGTAAACGTTACTCATGCATCGGTACGAGCTAGACTTTATCAAATTAAAATGAGAAAAGACGAAAAAGTAATTGATTTTTGCGAACGCTTCGGTTCAATAATTAGAGAATATGAATCATGCGAAGATGCGGTACCTCTCGCAGTACAAGAGATTAGATCTGCATTTTATCAGGCTGTGTCAATTAATGTACCAGAGCTGAGGAATGTAGATTTAATTAGAAGACAAACTAATCTTAAAGAAATGAACACAGATGAAATAAAGTCTTTTATGATGCAGTTAGAAGCAGAGATTAAGAGCGAGAATAGAGATAGAGATAAACTAGAGAAACCCGAAATAAGGGTACAGAGGGCTGCCGCAGAGGATGTGAAATGTTATCGATGCAACCGGATGGACCATATGGCAAAAGATTGCCCATTAGTAGAATCAGGGTCCTGGTTCT